CATGGCTAAACGAATAAATAGTAGACAGATGAACAGAATATTTCAAGATGCTGCTAAAAGAGGGTCAAAATTCTTGATGAGTTTTAGAGTATCAGGTTTATTATGGTGAAGACCACTTTATTAGTAAGAAATATTTGTTCTAAGCAATAGACAAAGAAGGTCTGGAGGAAGTAAACGAGGTTTATAATGGTGAAAACCACTTTATTTTAGATTGCTATTGAAGTTGCACATTGGGATTATCTTAACTTTGAAGCAGGGTATAGAGAGGTCTATCGATAAAGGAAAATAGCTCTCCTTCTGTTTAGTGCAATTGCAAAAGATTTTTGAAGGAATCTGAAAGGAAAACGAGCTTTTGTGAAAGACTAGTAGATATTAGATCAATCCAAAGTGTGAGGCACTAAGCAGATAGAGAACCATTTTTCTTTCTCTGTGGACTTCTCTATAACCTACCTTAAAGTGAAGACAGTCCCAATTTGCAACTTATGTTCCAATGTGCAACTTGAGTTTCTCAATCCATATCGCTCAGACAATCGACAATATTTCTTATTTTAGCTTCTACGATTCTTGAGTAGACTTTCTTTGGTACTATAAACAGTAAGTAATCTCGAATAACATTTCCTAGTATCTCATTTCCTGTAAAGGGACAAAACTACAGTCCTTCCATATCATTTTCTAATACATTTGTAGCCTTTGTACGCACAGCATTTCGGGTTACTTCGTCCAGACCAGCTGACTTGCCAATTGCTTAGAACAAATCTTTCTTGCTGATGAAATGGTCTTCACCATAATAAACCTGCTTAATATCATCCAAACTCATCAAGCATTTTGACCCTCTTTTAGCAGCATCTTGAAATATTCTGTTCATTTGTCTACTATATATTCGTTTAGCCATATAACGGATACTGATCCTTGTTTTCTTTTCCGAAATTTTGGCACTTCCTTTGTCGTTCGCTTAATGTATTTTTCCAATGTTTGCGTTCAATTTCGCGTTTTCCCTCATTTTGAGACCAAATACTGACAATCAGTTACCAGTTACCTAGAAGAACTTATAGCTTCGCCCTTTCCATATTTCTTTTGTGCAGAGGGAATAATGCATTTAATATTAAAAGTTCATATTTTTTATGATATGGTCCAACTTCCGAATAAAATTAAGGAAATAAAAATGATTTTTTTAATAGCGATATATGAATTTTACTAAACAATCCATCACCTATTCATTAAAAGTAGTTCTGATTAGGTATATATTATTTTAGTTTATAAAACAGATAATAATATGACTCATTTCCGGGGAAGTATATACAATTTAAATTACCTCTAAGAATCAGTAAATATATAAAACAAAATGTTAAATTGCAAATATTAAATAAAAAATTCAAGATATTCTGCAAAGTATTTTTGAATTAAGTTTTATTATTATAATTATATAATTTTTATAATAGAGGCCTTCTTAAGCGACCTCCGTATAGAATAAAGGAAGTTAAATTTAAAAAAATAAATGATAATAAATAAATAAAAAATAATAAATTAAAAATATTTTTTTTTGACAATTAAATTATTGTATTAATATTTATTCGTTAATACAATCAATATAATATAACAAAAACGTTATTATAGCACTATAACTAAGCCATTTATGAGTACTGAGTGGTGTGGTAGAGGCCTGAAGGCACCTACGCCAGTAGCGCTTTTCTGCCGCTTAAGTACAAACGACGCCTGATTTTCAACTTGAAAATTTTTTTGTAAAAACAATTGACTTTACCGATTTTTTTTAATGCCTAAGCCAATTTGTTTTTAATATTTTTTCATGTTTTATTATTCTCTGACTATCTAGCTTTAATAAAAGACCAACTATGATGAAATTAAGCCAAATGCTGATTCTCAGTAACAAAAAAACTAACTAAAGTCAAAGTCGTCAATCGGCCATGTTTGGACGCCTTTTTGGGGCAGTTCGTTTACTTTGTTTTGTGGGAACATTGGCTTTTTTTTTTAATAAATTGTCACAAGGAACACAACAATATACAATTTATAGGGATGTGGGGGGAGGGAGGTGCACGGTAAGGGGGTCTGGTCCACCGTGTAAGATGGTATCCACATTGACACGTGTTGTTGGGTGAGAATGAGCCAAATAGCTCTTCTCTAAATTGCTAAGCTGTAGTCGGAGCCAGTATGGGATCGAGGATTTAAATTTTTATGGGGGAAGGCATCTTTTACAATAACAGTAATTACTCTGGAAAAAAAGGAAAGAAATGATGTTTAAGTGTTCCTTAAGAGCAATAAATCCCCTCCCCCCCCAAAAAAAAAACAATAATAAAAAGCCCATGGAGCCAGGACCCCAAAATTGATCTGATCACAGGTGAAGATTTGAATGTAAATTACGGAAGTGTTTGTTATTTTAAGTAAAATGAACCTTGTCTACCGTTCCGGAGCCGCTGCATTAAAAAATGGCGGTTGTTTTAAAGAATATCAGACCAACAACTTGAGGATCGAAACGGAAAATATATTACAAAAAATGTGGAAAAAGTTTTTTTTTTTTTTTAACTTGTGAATATGGGTTTAAACATGTAAAATCACAAATTTCAAACTCGAGCAACCAAGGGAAAACCTTTCAAAGCAGAAAAAGCCAAATTTTTTCAATCATTTTTTGTTTTTTCACCTACAATCCCTAAATGGTGCATCGTAATCTTCGCACATCGAAAATGTACTCTTTAAGAAATTAAAGAACGTTAAATTGTGCGTCGAACGATTACCTTATCTTAATAATTTAGTTAAGTGGTATGGTAGAAAAGCACGGTCAACGAACGGTAATTTTTACCAAAGTTGTCAAAAACTAAGACAAATTACTCTAAATGGCCCTGTAACTTGGAAATGAGTTCCCTAAGTGGAAAAACTCATATAATCAAAGTTGTAGAGCATGGAATTTTGCGTCCACTGATTACCAACAGTTTTATTGCTGGTTAATTTTTTTTAATAATAAATTTGACAAAAAACAGTTTGTTGACCATGATTTTCTACCATACCGCTAAACCAAATTATCAAGTTTAGGTACTTATTCGACAAACTATTTAACGTTATTTAATTTCTTAGAGAACCAATTTTTCGATTTGAAGCACCGTTAAGAGCTTATAGGAGAAAAAACAAAAAAAATATCGAAAAAATCTGGCTTTTTTGGCTATAAAATGGTTTCCCTTGGTTGCTCGAGTTAGAAATTAAGGATTTTACATATTTAAACCAATACACACAAGTTAAAAAAAAAAAAAACAAATTTTGCCACATTTTTTTGTAATATATTTCCAGCTTCGATCCTTAGGTTACTGGCCTAATATTCTTTAAAACAGCAGCCATTTTTGAAAGCAGTGGCTCTGGAATGACAGACAAGGTTCATTTTACTTAGAATAACATTCACTTTCGTAATTTACATTCAAACCTTCGATTTTAATCATCAGGTCGATTTTTGGTTGCCAAGTTGCCTCGTTGTGGATGCAGCCTCTACCACTTTAGGAAACTGAGGGAATCTAATATTTCCCAAGTTTAGAAAAAAAAATAATACTAACCATTATAACAATAATAATAACTTATGTTAAAATTTCAGGAAATCCAGAAAGCGGAAATGCTGGGAACTTCAGGAAATTCAGAAAGCGGAAATGCTGGGAACTTCAGGAAATCCAGAAAGCGGTAATGCTGGGAACAGCCAGCATTGTTCCAAAAAATTTTAATATTTCAAATTAAATATTCAATAAACTGTACCCTTGACCTCGGTCCGTGTCAGTGTATTTATCCGGCATAAAACCGAGAATTGAAAAAATAATAATACCTTATTTATTCTGGTACGAGTTACTTTAGAATAATAAACAAGAACATAAATGTAGACTTTTGAGCCGTAGAGATATAATAGAAAAAAGAAATAAAGTTACTTTCTAATTTTCATCAATTAACAAAAAAAAAATGAAAGAAACATAAAATGAAAGAAACATAAAATGGTGTAATTGAAAACACACTAATAATGTTTATACCTCTTTAAAGGAATATCTATTTACAATTTTATGGGGACTGGATGGAAAGGAAGTGATTGAATAGGTGGGATTGAAAAAAGAGAGAGCATTGAAGCGACAGATGTATGGAGGGATGGAGTTCTCTTGGAGATAGGGTCGAGGAACGAATAATGAAAGATCTATCAAAAGCAGCGGTTCGGTAGGTATTGTATATAAATCTGAAGACCGATAACGGGTATTGCGGGAGTGAACTGAGGATTTAAATTGTAGGAGCTCGGAGATGTGTATGAGGGGTGGCAGGATTGAATGATTTGGAAGAGGGAGGATGCCAGGAAATACTTACGACGGTAGAAAGGATATGGGCACCTCAACTTCTCATATAAACGGGAAACATAGACATCCCTTGGAATCCCGAAGATGAATCGTACAAAGCAAACGTTTTAATTTCGCTTTGAGATCCCCAGAGACTCCTCCATAATGCATATGCAACAGTAGTCAAAGTGGGAAAATATTAAGGAGGTGACCAGGAGTCTACGGGTTTCAAATGAGGAGGGTGGCGGAGGTAATATAGACGTTTGAAGGTGGAAAAGTTACGGCGGGAGATATTGGATACATGTTTCTCCAGAAAAGGGTCTGGTCAATGGTTATTCTAAAGTTCTTGATGGTGGGATAAAATTTGATGGGATTATCATGTAGGAACAGAGTTGGAATGTTAGGAACAGTTTCAAGTAGGTGATTGGAGCCTATTAGGATTGCTTTCGTCTTCTCCGCATTCAACTTCAGCTTGTTAGCTCCTGCACATTCACAGGCATAGAGAAGGTTTATTTAAAATAATAGTAACAAAAAGAATGGAGTTTGTCAGTAGCACTGAAAAACAGTTACCGTACAGTAAATCGGACAAATAAAAAAAAAGAAAAAAACTGATGTTTATTTTCATACATATATGATTTTCTAAACTAATGTAATAATTATACATGGTAATGATGTAATAAGACATCTTCGGTTTAGGGTGGTTAATAAAAACAATTCTGAAATTATATTTTCAATTAAGTATATTTGAAAACAAGTTCTTACAACTAGTTAAATCCTAGTTGGTGCATTTTCATATCGTGCAACATATTTATAAACCATCAAAATAATATTATACAAAATTGATAATTGCTTCCGAGCAAATTTTTTTTATTTTTTATAACAATAGACAATCATTCATAAAACACTCACACGTATTACGTAAACATAGAAGTATATACGTAATAAAAGACTTATACTAGCAAACTACATGGTAAGAACGGTAGCATTTACATAAAATGTATTATGTATTAAACGTTCTTTCCTTAAATCAGAGATTCCAATAGTAACTTTCTCAGGCAAGAAATACTATGAGTACCTTAAAAGTAAATGATTGTCAATACTACAACTAGTTCAGTCCCATGGCAATATATTAAATTTACTTTTAATAAACCTAAACCATTTTCATTAGGTAAGCTATTAAAAGACCCGCAGAGATTCCTACGATAAAATATAGAATATCCAGCATGTATTTGGTGTCGATGAGGTGATGGTGGTAATGGCGGATTGCAAGTTCCATTATTGTAAGCTTCTTATCAGAATATGGAGGATACCGGTTACTGAAAAAAAAGAAAGTTTATTTAATATCAAATATTTTAACTACTAAGCAATCAGAATGTTTATTAAATATAAATTAATATATCAAAAAACTAGCAATAACAAGCCCCTTGAATAATTACTATAAAAAAGTAAAAAAAAACGAAGCAGACAATATTCAATACTAACATAAAATAACAAAAACTCAAAAAGATACATAAATTAGTTACTGCGGATGTAATTGGAAACTTTCAAACACACACCAATGATTCATTGAAATACTTACATTTTAGAAAATTATATCTTTGTGCTTAGATTTTTTTTTTCAATTGCATCCGAATTATTTTAATAATTGTTAATAATTAAAATTCCATACGCTTAAAAAATATTATAATGGAGTGGTCACTTGCTATGAATAAGTATTTACTTTGAACATATTACAATAGAATATTAAAGTTACCATTACAACCATATGTATATATATATATATTAAGAAGGTGAGATTTTTTTTTTTTTTTCTTCCTTTTCTAAGGAAATTACCAAATTTTTTTTAAAACGCATACTTCTAAATCTGTACTATTTTATAAAATACAATTTATTTTGTAAAAGAAAGTATTCGTATACAAAACTTAATGATGGTAATTGTACCTTGCTAAATTTTCTATAATTGGGTTGTAATCTTTAACGAGACAACTTTTTTGATGGGTGAACGTGTCAAATGTAAATTTTCCATGATATGCACCCATTCCACTGTTGCCTACACCACCAAAAGGCATGGTATCAACTGCAATAAAAAATCCACTATAATAAACAATAAAATGATGTATTTTAATTTTTATTCCATAGTTCAAATTCATTCTTATAATATATGAAATGAAATGAAATGAAAATAGATTTTTATTATCCTGGGACTGTTGTCCCTTTAGGACAAATTATAGATACAGAGAAAATGCCTTTGTGGCCATAACGTTAAATTAAATACGTATAATTCTCATTAAAATTAAAATATTGGAAGAAAATTAATACAAAAACACTGAATATATACAGATAAATATAATACAAACATATGAAAATAAAATAATATAAGTAAGCAAAATCATTTCGGGGAGAACTTAAAAATTTCTCTTATCTACTTTTCTTGATCAGTCGGGTTGGGAAAGAAGTTAGTGCTTAAAAAGGAAAGATTTAAATGAGGAAAGTGATCGCGCATGTCGGATATCGGTAGGAGGGATGTTCGGTGAGGAGGTGGGTAGAGGTCAGAAATACTCGATCTAGTGGGACGGGATTGAATGGAATATTTAAATTGTAGGCTGTGAAAAATATAGGAAGGTCGCTGAGTTCTGATGGCTTGGTATAGAAATGTAGCAAGGAAGTACAAACGGCGTTTGGATGGATAGAGCCACTTCAACTTGGTGTTATACTGGGTTATATGCGTATCTCTTGAGATTCCGAAGACAAATCGTATTGCGCAGTTCATTAGGCGTTTAAGTTTGGCTTCGAATTCTCCCGAAAGTCCGCCGTACACCAGACAGCAATAGTCGAAATGGGGGAACTCTAGGGAGGAGACCAGAAGTTGTCGGGATTTATATGGAAGGAGATAACGGAGCCGGTTAAACTGTTTCAGTGCAAAGATAGTACGACGGGAAATTTGGGAGATGTGTGGTTTCCAGGAGAGGGTTTCATCAAAGGTAACCCCAAGGTTTTTTACGGAAAAAACAAAAAAACAAAAAAAAAAAAATATATACTGAAATATATTTACCTCTTATTCTGCAAATTTAATGTTTAGTAAATACGATTGTAAATCTAAAATTTTGGCTTTCTGCCCAGATGCCACTTTTAAAATATATTACATATTATCGACATTATTAATTAATTGGCATGCTAATATTTTTTTTTAACATTCGGTATCCATCAACGGATTGAGAATTAAAATAAACGATCTATACTATTCTATGAAAATAAAATACTAATTCAAAGTAATAATAATAATAATAATAATAAAGCATAATAATATCACAAGCAAGATTATCAAACGAACGCCAACACACAGTTGTCTCCAAACCAGTCCTATGATATAATGTAACCCACTAAAATAAACAATTATATTTAAGAAAACTAAAACCTCTTTAAGTATAAAGTGGATCTTAAGAGTTACAATTAAAGCTTTTTTTTTTACCTATATAAGTACTAATAATGGCCTAATAGTAAGGGATAACCATCCCTCCCCCCCAAGGTCGATGGCGCAAGAAGCTACCCCCTCCCCTCATCCCAAGATATTTTATCGCTCACCTTTTCTTAAAAACAGAGCAAGCTAAGTAGAATTAGAAAAATCATAGATCATATACAATTACACTTGCTGCGGTATGTTCCACTTTTTCCCCTTGTCCCTTGGTCCGAAAATTCATTACTCCGTTAAAATTTGCTCCCCTCCAAAATTCAAAAACTTGTCAAAATATGCTCCCCTCAAAATTTTCGATGAAGCAGCTTGCACCATGGATCTATTATTAAACCAGTAAGCTCTGCTATGTGTTACATATTTTTAAGAATGTTGTCTTAACTTTTTGTGTATGTTATACACCTACGTAAGTAAAGTAAATATACTTGAGTTAATTTACCTATGAAGTGAGTTAATGTTTCATTAACACAAACTGAACCTGATGAAGTAGTATTAATGAATAAGTTTTGAACTGCTTTGTCTTTTGTAAAAACATAGCATGTCAGTGGTGCTTCTCTGAAACAAAAAGTGATATTATTAGCATTTGCTCAGATGTTAATCAGAGTCATACATTAAATTATTTATCAAGAATATTACGCAAATTACAGAGTAAACAAATTACAGCTGGAAGTATATATATACAAAAATAGCTCATTCTTACAAAAATATAATTTATTTTAATTGTTGATTTCCCTCTCCCCTGTTGATCTGATTATGATCAATATATTTTGAAGTATAATCTTCTTTCGGCGCCTCTTGCACTTTTATTGTGGAGATTGAATTAGATCGAACCGTTAGGTCTTCGATGCATAACGCTTGGGTAAAGTCGGCTGGAGTCGTGTTTTTGCATATAGATTAAATAAAATATCTCAAAACCTAAAATCTAACCCACAGGCAGATCTACTGGGGAGGGAGGGAGCTTTCGGGATGAAGCCTTTCCCCCTCCTCCAAAATGGTAAAATATAACCATGTTTTATAGAAAAAAAATTAAAAACTATCTCTTAAACTATTATTGTTCGTTCAATTACATTTAATAGGACTTCAAGAATCATTTAAACACTATTTCATATAGGTAGTTAATTTCTTTCTTTCTTTTTTTCAAATAAATTTTTCTTACATATATGAAAAAATAAATCATTCGGGCTGAAGCCCCTCCCAAAATTAAATCCTGGATCCGCTTGTGATCTGACCTGCATATTGTTAGCGAGATAATTTTTCAGCATTTTATCCTATCTGCAATGGGCTATTATTCAAAATTGTATCTTATTGCGACGCCGTGTTAGAGAAAAGAAATAGAAAAAAATAGTGTCGAAAACCAAATGATAACAAGTTTTATTGAAAATATGGATTAGAATATCTCATGAACTGAAAATCGGACCTGCATACTGTAAGTGAGGGAAATGTCCATCATTTCATCCTCTTTATAATGAGCTATTATTTATAATTTATATTTCGTATTATTAACCTCGCTTTGTTGTTTTCACTTCTAACGTGTGGTCAGAAGCACATATCTTAGCTTTTTTTATCCGTTGTTAACATTCTCTTACCGCTATCAATATATTGCAAAATTCCTGAAATATTAAAACAATAATAATAACTATAGGATATTGATTGATCAACGTCGCCTTGCTAACTCTGTCGGCTTTCAAAGAGCCTCCTTCGTTAGTAAAGAGAACAAGATAACGCATTATCCACGTAAGTTGCACATTACCACTAAACGACCACGATCGTCAAAAGTAGAAAATTATTGCTGATAGAAATGGGCAAATGGCATGACATCTTTTCAAAAATTTTGGTGATGTTTTTTTGATTACTATATAAACCTCTATTGTAGTCCATCTGCCTTTTCTGAAGTTATGTGGCGCTATTGCCAATCCACAACCTAATGATAATACGTACAGTCAAGTCCCCATATATGGGATTGCACCCTTACCTTGGACGAAATCGCTGTATTTTTGAGGCTCAGTAAAATTACAACATTGCGCAAATAAATCTCGAGAAATATCCATAAGTTTTATTTAGTTATCTCTAGCCTCTGAGAAGATAGCACGCTCGCCAGCCACGTGCTAACCGGTCTGAAATGTGATCTTTAATTTTGGCGAAAATTTGTTGGAAAAGTCTCATCAGTGGAAGCAAGCGGTACGGTGATAGGTTTTTTTTGTTTTTTGTTTTAACAACTGATTCACTAGATATTTATTAGTTGTTTGCCGCTAGTGTTGCCCAAAATTGGTCTTGCAAAGTGCAAGACCAAGACCAAGGCCGCCTAACTGTTGCCTCAGACCAGGACTGGTAAAAAAAAAATCCATTTTTAAAAAAAAATTAAGGCAAAAAAGTTACTAATACTTGACAATCTTAGATACTATATGTTGATAATTGATATGACCAATGTACTTTTGCATTTAACTCCTCTAATTTTTCATTCGGACTTACTTAGGTTTCTCCTATCTAAAAAAATACAGTAATATCTCTAAAGTAATAAGCTAATGAGTAACTACAAGTCAGTTGCTAGACTCTTGCGCAAGACCAAGACCATGACCAAGACTGAGCTCTCGGTCTCGCATTTGGGCAACACTATTTGCCGCTGACCAACAATTTGTAACAATTTTCGCCAAATTATATATTTTTCTAAAATTAAAAAAATTATGCAAAATATGAGAAAGGTGTCCCGAGTTTGGGTTAATGTCCCATGTTCGGGAATTTTTCAAATTCTTATCTACGATTTTGATTCTTTAAGTTTTTTTTTCTTTTTAGTTTTGAAAAAAAGTTTTGAAATACTATCTGAAACATTTTTGTCAGGAAACAGTTTACATCACTGCACTCCTTACCTGGGACGCTAAATTTAATACGGAATATTCTAATGCCATTTTAGGTGGATGTATTCTTAATACGGTAGACCGATTCGATTTCCGCTTGTGACGGTCGACTTTTACATCTTGACATAACCACACACAGTTATTACCCTCACGTCAGACAATAGATAATTTAGGAAGAATATGATTTAAATCAAATCAGTTAAAGATACCTTTCATTGATAAAATTTATAGCTTCCTGTGGAGATTCGACGTTGATGATAGGCAAAAGAGGTCCGAATATTTCGTCTTGCATCACTTTGTCAGTCGGTTTCACATTTATCAAAATAGTAGGTGAAATCATTGTTTCAGACTCGTTTATTTCTCCTCCAATAGCTACTTGTGATTCCCTCAGCATTTCGACGAGGCGGCTAAAAATAAGTTACAATTAATAGAGAAAATAAAGTTACTTGAAACACTAAAGTAATGATAACTTACTTGAAATGAGAGTTATTTATTATTCGACAATAGTCTGGAGATTTTAGAGGTGATTCTCCAAACCATTCCTTTAGAATTTTCTCTGCTTCTTTTATCAATTTGACTTGAAGTACTTTTGAACATAGTATATAATCGGGAGCAATACATGTTTGGCCTGCATTAATACACTTTCCCCAAAGTATTCGCTTGACTGCTAGTGGCATATTTACTGTATCATCGATGTATAGAGGGCTGAAACAAAAATCATTATTTTACTGTCCATGGGACCATAATGAATGAATGAATGAGAATTGCTTTATTAAATATGCATAGATTATAAATTTCCAAAATACAAATAAAATTTATACGGACATGAATGACTGATAAATAATAAAACAACTAACACAATATAAAATAATAAATGTTTTAAATAATTTATGACTAAGAAATAATAAAAAGGAAAATAATGGAAATCATAAACATTAGCATGAATAGAACTGACCACAAGTATATTAGACGGATCTTGTTTATGCTGGATGTGGCAAATTAAGACGGTGTTTCCACACATGTCCAGCAAAACCGATAATTTTATGACATTCGTTCAAAGAAGTGGCATTTACAAGAGAAATTAGGATATCGTTTCGTACCGGGCTAGTTCGAAATTTAATACGAATTTGACCAAGCATTAAACATACAGCCAAAAAATGGAACAGGTCCTCCTTTACTGGTAGGTTACAGAGTGTACAATCCGTATATTCCCTGTCAAGCCATGAGATGTAATTCAAATAAAGGAGTTCATACCTGAGCTTGAACAACCAACTCAACTCGCCCCCAGGGACTATATACTACCATAGATACAATTTGCAATAACAAATAACATAGCATCTCTTAATTTACTGTAAATTGACAAATCTTAGTAAATATTCAAATATAAATTGCTTGAAAACAATCACAATCTTCTTACGCCTGCTTCAGCCAGATATAAACTAACTAGCTACGACAGACGAGTTCAAGAATTGTTGATTTTAAGAGTGCGTGGTCTTGCAATTAAGGAAGTTAACTTGATCTTTATGTTTCAAGCAAAATCAAGCGGGTTACAATGCTTCTCTTACGGCAGGTTCTCCTGTAAAACCTAAATTAAAACCTTTTATTTACATATTTTTAAATGAGTTTCACAACTAACAACACCGCACGGGCCGATCGCCGATCTAGATTTGAGCAAGTAGCCCTTCAGTCCCACCATTCGACAAATAGTTCTACCATTACTTTATTTATCATTCAAATCAATGCATATGTATGGTATTGCTTAAGACTGTTTTTGATAGTTCATTTCAATATCTTTATTTTTCACTGTATTAATTTAGGTTACACCAGTTTAATGTTGTTATAATAGCATTTAAGAAATGTCTATCATCAAATCTTTGAAATACATAAACAACACTTGTACAATCTGTAAAATACCGTTCCCGTTACCACCCTGCTACAATTTTTTTTTCCATTTTGAAGCATTTTTTATATTCTTTCAAGAAATATTTTTTTTATTATGCGCAGCTTTGCTCTAAGTTCTATACTTTTTAATTGTTCCAGAAAACGTAAACACAAGTTCTATGATCAATTGTTTTTAATCTTATGAAAACCTCAAGAGTTATATAATACAAATTATACATATTGGAAAGAAAATATAGCCCTGTTCAAATTCAATATTAATGGAAAATCCTGAGAAAATAATTTTCCTTAGAAAAATATATCACAGGTGAAATATTCAGTACCCTCAAAAACATGAACAGACAAAATTTGAACAGCATACTGCAATTTCCAAGTAAGTTAGAGCCCATCTCCAAGAAACCTTACGCTCGCCCCAGTTTGCGCCGGTTCGAATCTGGCCTGGGCGTGTTAAAATTTGTTTCGCGACATACCCACGGAGTGAATTTCGACTTACCCACTCTGGTTCGAGTAGTAATTGAGTGGTAAGTAAATGAAAATATGTTTCAAAACTTATAAATCCCTTTCGCAAGATCTCTGAAGTCGTTTTATTTTACATGTTTATATCATAAGCGTTTTTCAATGTATTGCATTTTAAAATTCATAATAATTGTTTTACTTCACAAACTAACATCACCCACCATATTCTTTGAGAACAGCAATGGGTATTTGACATTAAACGTACACTAACCCAATTACATATTATATTTTTAACATAAGTTTTAATTCCCAATGTGTATTATTTGATCTGAAATTTTGGCTCTAACAAGCCGATGTTGATAAATTGAATCATAAAGGCATAGGTTTTCGAAAATTAAATTGATGTCTATTTTACACAAAATAGAAAAAAACTTAAATCTTATGTATTTTCACAACCATCGCGGAATTTCCAACGATTCGACTAGGTGTATATATTTACGACCAATCATATTCAGAGTGATTAGGTAGAATTATGTAGTTGATTGTGAAATATTAAACAGTTACAAACAGGGCTTCATAGATTTTGGAGATCAACTATATTTCTTTTTAATTTTTTTAATTAACTTCATAGTTAAAATGTATCTTTCTCGTCGATTCAATCACTCTACATTCTCAATCCTGACCAGTGAGCAGTAAATTGACAGTAATTAATTTCAAAGCAATAAAAAAAATAATAGTAAAGAGAATATCACCTTTTTCCACCCATTTCCAGCGTGACTGGAGTCAGATGTTTATTAGCTGCTTCTCTCACGATTTTACCAACTTTTGATGAACCAGTGTACAATATGTAATCGAATTTTTGTTCCAGAAGTTGAGCCGTTTCTGGAATCCCACCACACACAATTTGGAAACAGTCCTATGAAAAAGACAAAATTACTCCAGTCCATTTCATTCTATTTATACCATGCTTAGAGGACCGATGAGGTGTGGGTGTCAGTAATTGGGCCAAGTCATCGGGCTCACGTCTCTGTCTGGAAAATTATTTAATCTCATGTCAGTGAAAAGTCATTGTTTTTTATTTATTCATTTTTTTCACAGATTTTCCTATATTTTATATGCAGGATATTTTCTATTTGAAGATATTCCTAACAGACCTGGGTCATATTTCAAATGAAATATTTCAAAATACTTTTTTTGTGTTTTGCATTTTAATAAGTAAAATATATACCCTCGGCATTTTTACTTGGTACAGTAACAAAACTGTTTTTTATTGTTATTTGCTATAGTTTGGAGTGCTACCAATTGGTTTCATGTTGTACATGTCATGTTACTTGTTTCATATTTACTTGTTGTATTTATCATTTAATACAGTTGTAAATTTCAATAATAAAAAAAATAAAAAAATAAATAAAAATAAAATAAAATAAAAAGATTGCTATAGAATTGGTCTCTGTATTCTGTTCATTTAGAAATAGTGAGTTCTCTATAGGCGGTATTTTTTGTTATTTTAGAAATATCGGTATTAATTGAAGCGAGAAGATTTTTTATCGCTGCAAAAGAGGAAGTTACATTCACTGGGTCACGGATTTCAACCTAATATCTTTTTTCGGTGATACTGCATCGAAAAATATTAATCTTGGGTACCGACGAACGTTTCGATGGGCAATAGGAGCCATGAAAAAATATTTTATATAATTTCAAACAAAATTAATGTTATTGGTTTTTTCCTTTGCTTTACCTGGATTTTTAGGTTATTATATATCAATTGATTTTTTTTTTTGTGTGTGAATGAGAAAAACATTATTATGGTATTAAATGAATTATTATGTAAATATTTTTGTGATGAGATACAAAGTTGATATTCAAAACCACAAAAATTGTGATAGCTTAAGGGTAATTCCATCAATCCTCACGAAAATTATCAGTGATTTAGGACCCTATATGATACATGGAATGGTACTAACCCCCTCCCCTCCTAAGCAGCTTACTATTATATATTAATAAATATATAAATGAATTAAAATGAAAAAACAATTTTATTCTTCGACTAAAGTCCCCTAAGAATAATGACTGAGTTCAGAGTTTAGGCGCATTATTATTCTGGCCTGAAAAAAAGTAAAAAACGGCACTTGTCAATTAACTGTTAATAGCGATTGTAACTATATAAACAAACAATCCTTATATGGTTGCATAAATTTGAAGATAAAGTAGGTGATGGAACGAGGATAGATATATGGAGATAGGTACAAATTTTGTTGGAGGAGATTTATAGATCAATAGGTTAAGATTTGGAATTAAGAAAGTGGATATAGGAACGTAGAGTAAGGAGTTGTAAGATGAAGGGAGAATTTTCGGTTCTGATGTCTTGAAAAAAAACAAAAACAAGACGGTATCGCATATAAAATATTATTTATATATATATATATATTTTGTTTTAGGTTCCTTACGTTGTCCAGATAAAGCGGAAGGAGTCGTGCCAATGCTTCGGCAGTCGCTGGAGCGATCTCAGACGGCTTAAGAACGGCGCAGTTTCCAGCTGCAATGGCTCCTACCAGTGGCATCAGAACCAGCTGAACCGGGTAATTCCAAGCCCCTATGATGAGAACTACACCCATAGGTTGCTGATAGATGTAAACGTCATCCCACACAGTCGCCAAACTTTTCTTTACCTGAAAATTTTATTTTAATAAAAGTCCTGTTGATTAATCTTTTCTCAGTTAAAGGGCTATGGTTCGGAAACAGGGGAAGCATCCCACTTAATACGAGTAATTTCTTGCAGAGGCTCAGTGTTGGAAGAGAGCAGATGTAGACCATGGCAGAAACTATTATTTTGGAATCGTTGGTAATCCTCCATCACCACATATATTGATCTAGGTCTCCGCTTGTTTAATTCAACAAACCATTTATGGCATATCTGATATGTATTTCAATGGCCATACCTAACTTTCTCTTATATATATATATATTTTTTTTTTTTTACAGTATTATCTATTGACTGATGAGTATACGAATAGGTAGTCCATAGTACAGACTCCTTTTTATCAAATTATAAACATTCGCCTAAAACTTCGTGAATGTCTTCATCGTATCATAACCTACAAATCATGTATCTACAAAAATTCTGAGAAACAGGGCGCTTTCTCATTAAAATAATTAATTTAAAACTCATTAATACCCAATTGATTTCCACTTGAATCGTAATTTGATCACAAAATCGAAAAAAAGGTGGCATACAAAAATAATGGGCCGTTTGGCCTCTATAACCTCTTTATTTTGATATGTTGGGGGTCACTCCAAATGGCCCAAAATTTTTTTAGGTTTCCTTTATTATCGATTTTTTAATCATGAGTTCATGAGTTTTGAGTGCCTAACTAAATAGACGAAGTTTCTCGAAATTGAAAATGTCCCATTTCCTGGAAAATTTCTTTAAAAAATTAGGTTACGATAAGATGAACCTATTCACGAAGTTAAGCGGATGTTAATAATTTGATAAAAAGGGAAATTAGAATAACCCTTCAAAGCCAAACAAGCAATATTGTTTGCTATGTCGAAAAAGTTAGATAGATTTTTCGGGACCAAAAAAAATAACTAAAAAAAATTAATAAATACAAAGATTAAGAAGATAAAATTACTCGATTGTCATGAATGAACAAACTAGTTGAAAGTATTGAGAGATTATTAAGATATTCATAAAAAATATTCTTTGGATATATTCCGTAATTTATTTTCAAGTTACATTGCTGTAGTCTAATTACCATAATTATCATCATAATAGATTTTGAAAATTTTCTATTGTAGAAAATTTTCCATTGTGTCTATCATATTGTTCATGAAAATCAAACTACTTATGAGTTCAAAACAACAAGAATGTTCCAAAACTTAAAATACAACGATTAAACATTATAGTTTTCATAAACAAATTAATAGATAAATCATTATTAAATGTTAATTTCTTTTTAATTTGCCATATATCTACTTAATTTCCCCTACTATTACTGCAACTTCATAATAATATTGGATAAAAATTATTATCAAAGTATCAATATAATAATGGAAATATACTTTTTTTCAGATATGAAAATATTTTTACAATATGCGTATTATATTAAATCCATTATGCTTACCTTTTTGGGCGACATCCATTCTTTAAGTTGCAGCATAGCAGTTTTGATCTCATTTTTCACGACACAAATTTCAAATAGATACGATTCAAATTTTCCCTTAAAAAAAAAGTCCACATTATTTTTGCTATTTAAACACAAGTCGATATTTTCGTTAACATTAAAGTTTATAAAAATAACAAGATACCAATTTTGTTCTTTTCTGTAGCGTTACACTGTTACAAAGCTGATACCTGAGAAACATTGTAATTTGTTTTTAAAATCTGAGTTAAAATTCGTCAGGGCTATGGAGATACCTTTTTCAAATCGTTTTGTAAAGCCTTGGCGAACGTCTGGTCGTGATCATTGCACAGTTTTAATAGCTGCTGGAGTTGGTTATATCTGAACTGGTACGTCCGTGTTTTGCCTGTTTGGAAAGCATTTCTAGCTCTTTTCACTACCTTTAAAAAAACAATAAATATAAAAATCTTATTTAAACAATTTTTTTTTTTTTTAACTTTTATTATGATATTTACAACTGTATTAGTATGAATACATCGTCGCTTGTTGAGAAACTACCCACTGGTAGCACTCTAATAATTTGTCTACATGGGAAGATCACGAGGCCATCTTCTTTTCAGACGTCTCGGAGGGTTATCAGGAATCGAAGAGGAAGCAAGGTTAGAAACAAGAGGATTCGGATGGTTATGAAGTTTATTATGGAAGGATAGGTATCTGGATTTGTCCAAATCGGAAACATATGGAACATTGAGGTCTTTATGGATTATTTTATTAGTGACAAAGTAAGGTGCATTGAGGATTTTACGAAGGATTTTGGATTGTAAGGATTGGATGCGAGAGGAATTCGATGGTTTAGTGGAGCCCCATAGCTCAACTCCGTAAGTCCAAATAGGTCTTATTGTAGTCATGTATATATGTCTTTTGTAATTAACTGGAAGCTTAGAACGGTTGTCGGAAACGTCGAGCGGTTTCTTGTCGTTTCAGTCTGGTATGAGGATTCAAAGTTAGACGTTTGTCCAAGTGAAGTCCAAGGTATCGGATTTGTTCAACAGGGATAAGTGGGATATTATTAAAGGATACTGTGGGACATGAGATCATAGGTTTACGTCAAAGGGTAAAGGTGATTTGATGGGATTTATTAGAATTTATTTTAATCCCCCAGTTTTGACACCATTCTTCAAGGCTTGTGATGTGTGATTGAAGAGTTTGGGATGCAATGGTTGGGTCATTATTAACGGATAGGACACATGTATCATCGGCATACGTGGTAATAACAGTGTTAGGATGGGTTGGGATATCAGCTGTATAAACTGTGTAAAGGATAGGACCAAGGATACTACCTTGAGGAACTCCGGCAGATTGAGAAAAGAGGGATGAATAGGTATTACTGTGATTTACTTTGAAGTGCCTATCAGTAAGATAGGAACTGATGATAAGAAAATATTAAACAATTTTAATTGCAAATATTTGTTAAGCGTGCACTAAAAATATAATAAACCCCCTTTTTTTGAATGATAGTCTGATTCCGAAACTTCCAAACCCTCTTTGTATAATGGTGCGAAAAGATGTTTTAAATATTTTCTTTAGTATCGAAGAAAGTATGCATACTTATCTTTATTAAACAGAAACTGAGAGAATGTTTGTTAATAGCAATTATTTTATTTTTTATTTTTCTTCCATACCCACATGACATGAAAAACAACCTTTCTATTTCCAGAAAATAATTCTTCTTTTGTACTTACTCTTTCAAGTCAGTTGATTCTATTAACAGGGGAAAGCAATGGCTTTGTTAAGGATTTTATAATAATAACAAACGGTTTATTGTGATGTTTCCGGTATTAAATATTTATGAGAGTTGATGAATTTATGAGTTAATGATTGTTTTTTAAAATATTTTAATTAATTAATTAATTTAATTTATGTTTATCGAAACAATAATCAGAAGGCATTATACTCCTGATGTAACATGCATCGTCTGGAAAAACTCTACTTTCATTTGAAATAAAATTTGTCTAGTTTACTGAGGAACAAGTATTAATTACTTAAATTAAATACTTTTTTAATTATTGCTTTCTATTCAACAAAAAACTTCTATTTCTAAAGTAAAAAAAAAAAATAAATAAATAAAACCTGGTCTTGAAGTCTACTATAGCCTCTTTAAATATTCATTTACCTCTACTTACGGGAAATCTTGAATACAAATATAATGAACATTACGTAAACGCTTTGTTTACGTATTGTTTTTTAACGTAATTATTTTTTAAGTTATGTTAATTTTTATTTCCTTCATATTTAATTTATTTATTCATTTATTTTAAATGTTCTTTTATTTCAAATTTAGAAATATCTTCAATAAACTTACGATTGATGTGTGATATACTCTGTTTACATTTTTTTAATACAATATGTTAAAAATAAAATGTATTTTTTTATTGGTAATAAAAAAACCGATATAGAAAAATTGGACGCTGTTTAACCATAGAATAAAATAAAGTCTAATTTTAAGGCAGGATACGTTTAATATAATTTCATATATCTGTTGTTAATTAAGGATTTAACTATTTATGGTTTGATTAAAATTTAGAGATATTTTGTAAATGTGCGTAGTGGTAAGTTTGATTCTGGGTTCTTCTTAATTATTTTGGTATTATAGAAATAATTGTTGATGGTTTCTAGAAATTTGTTTTGAAACACCTGTACATTTTTCAAGGTGGTTGAATTAGTGAGGCTTCATACGGAACGAGTATAAGTTAAGATTGAATTAAAATAATTAATTGATTTTTAATCGATGGTTTAGATTTTTGAAATCCATACGGATCAGGTAGTCAGTTAAGAGTCTTTTTAGGATTGGGTAATAAAGACTTAAGATATTTGAGGGTTATAATTCAGATTTTTTATTGAAAAAATTGGGTAATATTAAGTACATTATTTTTCGATTGTTTTATTTTTATTTTTAATTAATTTGTATTAATGAGTTTATAATGCATTACTATTAAGTATTTTACGGACTTGGCAAAAGGAATTGGGGCAACATTTAAGATTATGTTCGGAGGAATTATAGGACGTCGTATTGTAAAAATAATATCTTAATTTTTTTTTCAAGTTTATTTATTATCAGCCAATTTTAAACCAATTTTTAATATTTTGTCAACTTAAAGTCATCACATCAAATTACGACTTTTCGGCTCGTTGAGCCATTTTGAAGTCTAAATACCCATCATGTACCTGTCCTTTTCACTTATGCGAATTTCATGCGTAGACTCAAAATAATTTTTTTTATTTCTCATGTCCACCTTATCATGTGTCACCGACATGTCATGAGTCTCATTTCTATTCAGACTGCTGTGATGTCTTTAAGTTGACAAAATTTTAAAAATTGATGTAAAATTGGCTGATAATAAATAAACTTGAAAATGAATAGTATGCACCGAAGAAGAAGTTGAGAAATATTGTGAATCTTAAATTTTGCTTTAAATTATTGGTTTAAGGGGACAGAATAACAATTTATCAGCTATATTAACATTTTGTCGTAAACCAATGACTTCCTGTACTTCAGTATCCTTTAACAACACCTCACTTATCCCTATTAAACAAATCCGTTACCTATGACTCCATCTGGTCAAACCTCTAACTTGGAATCCTCATACCAGACTTAAACGACAAGAAACCGCTCGACGTTTCCGACTACTTCAACTAGACAAACGCACGAACCTTTCAATTGATTACAAAAGACACATATAAATGACTATAATAAGGCCTATTTGGACTTATGGATTTTAGTTATGGGGCTCCACCAAACCTTCATTCCTCTCGTGTCCAATCCTTAAAATCCAAAATCCTTCGTAAACTCCTCAATGACCTTAATGTTCCTTATGTGTCAGATTTGGCCCAATATCTATCCTTCCATAATAAACTTCAGAATAATCCCAACCCTCTTGTTTTTAATCTTGCTTCCTATTCAATTCCTGATAACCCTCCGAGGTGCCTGAAAAGAAGATGGCCCCGTGATCTCCTAATATAGACATATTATTAGAGTGCTACTAATTGGTAGTTTCTCAACATGTGTTTCATGTCATTATATCCATGTACGAATTTACAAGATGTATTTTTTTTATACAGTTTTAAATATCGAAAAAATAATAATAAAAAATTAAAAAAAAAAAACATTTTGAATCTTAGGAAAGCCAATTTAATTTATAAATATGTGTCTGTAAATATAGTATGAAGAGATACAAGCACCTACCACTATTATTTATTGTTCTAAAATGTGACAGATCGTAATATAATACAATAAAAACGGTTAATACTAAATAAATTAATTAGCATTAAAAATAAATATATTAATAGAATAAAAAAAAACTCTCTTGGGATTAGATATTTAATTGTTTGTCCTCTATTCATTTGTTTATAATATTAAATACATTACTTTAATGCAAAGATGGGCAAATTCTACTTTAGATACCGAGTACCAAGTATTTTACTTAAATTGAATCACTAATGAGAATTCAATAACTAATTCAGTCAATCGTTTGACATCAACTAAAGTAGTAATTAAATCCTTTGGTACTCAAAAAAAGTCAGTATTTGAGTAAAATACTTTGTCCTCAGTACTCAGAGCATCATTTGCTCATCTCTGCTTTAATGCTATTTTGAAGTGTAAAGTAATTCTGATGATAACTCAATCGGCAAAACGCAAATAAATGTAAATCTGTATAACTAAGCCTTTTTTTCAAGAACTTCCAATCACAACTTAATTATAGTTTTGATCACTTTTTAAAGTCCCATGCTCACTATCATTAAAATGATTTAAATTTAAATTATCCATACTTACCAAGCTGCAGTCTTCTTTTTCGGTAACTGAAACAAAAAGAGGAATTATTATTATTATTTATTTATTTACAGTTATTTATATTTGAAAATACAGTAATCAAATTAGATGTATTCTAAAATAGACAAATGAATTTTTAAGAAATTGCTCATTGCTCTCTGTTTGTGCGTTTTAATGTTGCTGTGCCAATCAGCGGATCTACAGGACCTAGTTCCCAGAATGGAGCATCAACAATTTAAAAAAATATTTTTTTTTTCTATATATATATATTATTGCGAATGATTTGAGAGCTAAAAACTTGGACAATTATAATATGTGCACACATCTTTAATTATTTAGCATATACAGCTACTTAATGTAAGCATCGGTCAAGAAAAAAATTATCCATCAACGGAGCTTAACTGAAACCTCCGCCCCTCCCCACCCCAAAAATAAATAATTTTTTTTTCACCTATTGAAAAATATCACAATTTGTCACATCTAAGTACAATACTAATAGTGATAAAAAAGAGTAGTCATTCACACTCTATGTAATTTTTTACTAACAAAAATAATTGTGGATGTCTGCAGTGCGAACGAATCGCGGATGTTTCGAAACTTATACTGGAGGATGGGCGGATTTACGGAGGGGGAGGGGTTTTCTCGGGCTGAAGCTCCCTCCCCCAAATGGTAAAATATAACCATGTTTTATGGAAAAAAAATTCCTCTTAAAGTATCATTGTTCGTGTAATTACATTTAAAAGGACTTTAGGAATCACTTAAGCACCATTTCATATAGGTAGCTAGTTTCTTTCAGTTTTTCTGAAGTAATTATCGTTATTTTTATGAAAAAAGAAGCTTTCGGGCTGAAGCCCCTCCAAATTAAATCCTGGATCCGCTAGTATACTGGATGGCCTGGATTTAGTTTTATATTTATCACTTCTGATTCATTGGCGGATCCAGAGGGTGTACCCTCCAATAAAGAAAAGTAATATTGTTATTTTTGGAACATTTTTTTATTATATCTTCCATATTTTTATTCTAAATAAAACACAAGGTTTGTTTTATAGCTTTATAACGCAGTCTTATTTGAGTCACTCACTCATAAAGACAATTTTTGGATCCCTCTTCTGACCAGTAAATTAGGGCAGATATAAAAGTGAAACTATTTTTTAGAAAAAAGAAATGGAAAGCGTGGCCAATCAAACGACACTTGACTGAACAGCTTGTTACAACGACATTGTACTTGAGCAAATTGGGCTTGTAGACCCATAATTGGAAACGAATCTTTTATTTGTTCAACCGCCGCTTATACACTAGATGGGCTATAGTTTAGTATGATACATCCTACATGATATACATACGTGTGTGTGAGAGTTTTTTGAATAAATATATCATAATAGTTTATATTTTATGTAAGTACATTGAAATATAATTATTGATATGTTAAACATAAATTTTTAATCAAATATAAAACTTTAATAAACTCTTACAACGTTCGCTGAACCCGCAGATGAAAATAATACATTATGGGTCCGGTAACCTCTTGCCTATGGAGGATTTGAAGGAGGAATGTATGGCTTTAGCTACACATAGTGGTCTTGCGTACTCAGTCTTGGTCTTGGTCTTGATCTTGCGCAAGAGTCTCGCAACAGTCTTGCAGTTACCTATTAGCTTAATTAATTAAGAGATATATTAAGATATTAATTAATTTAGAGATATTACTGCTCTTTTTTAGATAGAAGAAACCTAACTAATCCGGAATGAAAAATTAGAAGATTTAAATGCAACAGTATATTGGTCATACCCATTCTTTAAGTATAGTAAATAAAATTGTCAAGTATTAGTAAGTATTTTCCATTAATTTTTATTCAAAAATCAAATTTTTTTTTTCCAATCTTATTCTTGGTCTTAGTCTTGCAAGACCGACATTGTAGGGATTTTCATTACCTTTAAAAAAAACGGACTAAATGTTTTTCGAATTTTATTATAAATTTTACCATAGAATATATACTTAGCGAGTTAGGCCCCGAAACATTTCTTTTCTTTATAACTTTATAAAATCGCATATCGGAAATTTGAGCCGATTGCAATACTTTCCTCTACCTAGTATAGGTAGGAAAGTAAAAACAAGATGACAAATATAGAGAACCAAACAAAAAGGAATTGGTGAAACGTTGGAAGGTTAACTATTCACCTGAATCTTAGAAACACATGGTTTTATAGTTTAGACTTTTGCATTTAGAATAGAATAGAAAATTAAACTTTATTCTGGGACTAAGTCCCTTTAGAATAACAATGATGAGTTAATACAAAGTAAAGTAAAAATCTGGCCAAAAACTAACTTATAAAAATTTTAATATTATATACATTATTTAAAAATTATGTAACCAGTAAAAAATAGAAAAATAAAATATATATACAAATGAACATAAAATCTTCTCAAAATTACTTAATTGTGATGAAAAAAAAAAAAAGGAGGGAGAAATTACATATTTATATATACATAACTACACAATTTATAAGCAATAGGCTATCTAATAGAAAACTAACTTAATACAAAATGTAATAATATCTACAGTGGTTTATATAATAATATGCAGACACTAAGATAAACTAAAATCTTACGATACTTGTGGTGTAATGGAAAAAAATAAATAAATAACTAAAAGGAACTATTTATACGTACATTCTCATATTGACACACATAAAGACAAAGATATAAAATATAAACATATATGACCGAAAAAAAGCACAACCTGAGGAGAAAAGAAAAATAAATAAATAGTAAAAATAATAGTCAAACTAGGTGACAAAGATCATTGCTGTTTTATGTTAAAACTTAAACAGTAGGCACCACTATTTACTTCACGCAAATTCAGTTCATAAAATGAAATTTATTGTCGCGAATCGTCTGTTTGGGATGTAAGGAGATATTGGAAAAGGAGGTATTTGAAAGTTGACAGGGAAGAGGCATGACGGATGTTATGTGGCAAAGAATTCCAGTAGGAGACGGTACGGGCTAAGAAGGAACGTTCATAGGTTTTTGTCCTGTGGAATGGAATATAGAGGTCAGAAACACGGGATCTAGTTTTTATTGAGTGGACTAAGGGTTTAGGCTGGAGGAGACAACAGATATAGGAAGGGTGCTGGGAGTTGATCGTTTGATATAAGAAATTTCCAAGGAACTATAGGCGGCGGGAAGAGGGGAAGAGCCACTTTGACTCGGCATATAGGTGGGACACATGAGACTATCTCGAAGTGCCGAAGACGAATCTTAAAAAACGAACTTTATATCGTAATCACTGTATGTCTCTTTTTGAGCTACATGTTTAGTTATAATGGATACACTTAATATTTATTGCTATACTTAACGCTTAGTAACGTCAAAAATGAGTGAAATTCGTTGAGGTCAAGAAGGAGACTGCCCCAATAACCAGTCAAGTCAGCCCACATTCACCCGTTGCGTGGATGGTAAACACTGTTTTGTTGATCCGTCTTACAAAATATAATTATATACCCTTTGTGGTTGAGGAGAAAATTAGCTTAGCCTTTGTGTGATTGCTCTCCTAGTGATAATCGACAGTATAAAAATAATACGGTTTTATCTTGATTTATTTTTGTGCCTATGCTCTAAATGGAAAGATAATAGCCCAACAATCATAATCTCATTTCCCAAAGATATAAGTTGAAAGGTTGAAAGGTCATGCTGTAGGATTGATTTACAGCCTTCCAGATACCTAATAAATATCAACTGAAATCCGAATTGTTTTTTAATACTCCAGAAACATTTATCTGTTATGGTAACGCTTTATGAGAGATAGTTCAGTGTTGATTACGGATATTTAGCGAGTGTAGCTTTCTCATGATTAACGCTTTCTGATGGCGCTTCAGATATTTCATGATACGGTATCATTACCCTAGAAACTAAAACACATGTTTCCAATAATAAATTCGATTGGAGTATCTTGAGTCTATAGTTGGTTTTTTTTAGTTGGCTTCTATAGTTGGATCAAACATTGTTCAAATAAATACTAACATCCGTCTATAACTTTGTAAATGGCTTTATTTTATCATAACCTATAACATTTTTACTTACAAAAATCCTCTATTTAATGGGGTACGAAAAACTCATGAACGCCCATTTGAATTGTAATAAATGAGGAGTTGGTCTGGGGAGGGAGGAGGGGGGAGGGTGAGGAGTACGGTCAAATAAATACAAAATTTTTAAAAATAGTATTTTTAATTATTACGCCGACGTTTCGACCCACCTTGCAGGTCTTTATCAGGGCTACAAAAGAAACAAAATATAAGAGGCACATGATGAAAATAAAATAAATGAATTATAAGTAGATATTAAATAAAAACCAGTTGTCTGATAAAGAGATAATAAGATGAAATCAGAGATATAGTGGGTGACATCATGTCAATTCTACATCATATAATATAATAATATAATTTGATCAATAAATCGAGAAAAAATATGGCTTACCAAAATATTGGGCCGTTTTGTCCAAATGACTTCGTTATTTTGACATGTTGGAGATCACGCTGAACCACTTTATATTTCTGCAGGCACTAATCATCTTATGATTCAAGGGATGTTCAAGCGCAAATGGATACTCAAGAGCTTTAGTACCTCTGAGAATTGTGAGAATTTTCGTAGATAAAGAAGTTATAGGTTACGTTAAGATGAAGCCATTCACGAATTTTTAAATGGATGTTAATTATTGTAGATCTCCTGGTGAGTGGACAAAAAAACCAGATCGATCATCTGCTGATAGATAAACGTCATAAATCAAATCTCCTATGAATCAGGACATGATAGGAGGAAATATGGATACCAATCATTATGTATGTTGCTAAAATAAGAATTGCTCTTACCCAGAAGGATGGTATACTAGATAGATGTGTGAAGCACAAAGATTTCTTCTTAATAAAGAACAATCAAGCATCACTCAAATTGATGGCACATGGAATGGGGTGGAAGATATAGATAGAGCCACCTGATTAAGATGTTGATAATGCCATCTTAAAGTTTTTTTTTAAA